TTTTGTTTTTCAAACCTGCAGTAGAACTCGTTCAGGTCTTCAGCCAGTTGTTGATTGGCCTCAGTGCTGGGCGATGGGGTCTTGTAGCTGTTGATGGCTTTCAGGCCTTTCCACACTGATGTAGAGTCATTACTTGAAAGCTGTTTTTTTAGCTTTTCAGAGTAGTTTAACTTTGCCACTCTTATCTCCCTATTCAGTGTGTATTTGGCCTGTTTGTACAAGTCTTTGTCCCCACTCCTGTAGGCGTCCTCTTTGGCCTGGCGAAGCTGTTTGAGTTTTGCACTGAACCAAGGTTTGTCGTTGTTAAATGTTAAATAAGTCCTGGTGGGAACACACATGTCCTCACAGAAACTGATGTAGGATGTCACGGTGTCAGTAAGCTCATCCAGATCAGTAGCTGCAGCCTCAAAAACACTCCAATCAGTAAGTTCGAAGCAGGCCTGTAAATCCTGCTCTGCTTCAGCAGTCCATCTCTTTACAGTTTTCACTACAGGCTTAGCAGATTTGAGTTTCTGCCTGTAGGCTGGTAGAAGATGAACCAAACAGTGATCAGAGAGTCCCAGAGCTGCTCGGGGGACAGAGTGGTATGCATCCTTTAAAACAGTGTAGCAGTGGTCCAGTATATTGCTGTCTCTGGTGGGGCATGTGATGTGCTGTCTATATTTAGGCAGTTCACGGGTGAGATTAGCTTTATTAAAATCACCGAGAACAATAATAAAAGAGTCCGGATAATGTTGTTCTGTGTGTGTGATCTGATCGGCCAACAGTTCTAGCGCGGCGCTCACACGCGCGTCAGGAGGAATGTACACACTCACCAGAATAAACGAGGAAAACTCCCGCGGTGAATAAAAAGGCTTACAGTTAATGAAGAGAGCTTCCAAATTTGGGCAGCACAACTTCTTTAAAACTGTCACGTCTGTACACCAGCCTTCATTGATATAAAAACACAATCCACCGCCTCTCGTTTTCCCCGATGACTCAGTGACGCGGTCCGCTCTGAACAGCTGGAAGCCCATTAGATGTAACGCGCTGTCCGGGATGGCTTCGTTCAGCCAGGTTTCCGTGAAGCAGAGCGCAGCGGAGTTTAAAAAGTCCTTGTTTGTACACCACTGTCTGTCTGTCCATGTGGAATAATGCTTCCAGTACGGAGCCTTAAATTAGACCCACGGGTGGCCAGTCTAATAATGTGTGTGTTTCAGCTGGACATCATCGAGGCTCAGGCTGGAAACAATTTAAAACTTTTGCTTTTCAGTCAGGGGAGAGTTTAAGCAAGCTGTGTGTGTGTGTGTTGTATTTTTAGGTTTCAAGTTGACATCCCTGCAATCACACACAGACAGACACACTTTTAAGTAACCATGCCATTGTGTGTGTATAGTGTGATTGGAAGTGATGTGCATGTAATCCATAGATTATAAAAAGACACAAAAAATGTATTGGCAGACTATATGGCACAGATGCACATGCTGTGATTGTGCTATTCATTTCTTATTTAAGAGATAGTTGACCTAAAAATGAAAATTCTGTCATCGTTTACTCATCCTCATGTCGTTCCAAAGCAGTAGGATTAATTGTTTTCTGTGGAACACAAAAGGTGAATTTTTTTCAACAGTATCACATTTTTATAACATAATGATAGTGAATGACGACTCGGGCTGTCAAGCTTCAAAAAGGCCCATGAAAGAGTCTTAAAAATTGTCCATTCATCTAATGAGGTACAGTACACTAATGTTCAAAGTCTGGGGTTGGTAGAATTTGTATGTTAATTGTATGTCTTATTCTAACCAAGGCTGCATTTATTTTATCAGTTTTATTACTCTTTACTTTAAAAAAAAAAATATTTTATATAAATATAAATGTAATGTATTTCTATGATGGCAAAGGTGAATGTTCAGCATCATTACTCTAGTCTTCAGTGTGACATGATCCTTTAGAAATCACTTTAATATGATGATTTGCTCAAGAAATATTTCGTATTATTATCAATGTTGAAAACAGTTGTGGTGTAGTTGTAATGCATCCTTGCTAAATAAAAGTGTTAATTTTCTTCTGTTCCACTGAACAGTTGTGTATATTCCAGATCTTATGATGCTATATGATAGTTTTGTGTGAAATTCCAGCTGACAGACTCTGATCTGATCTCATTGCAGGACATTTTATCACAGGATTAAAAACTCCCATTTGTTCATCACACAGATCTATTGTATGACTTCAGAAGTCGTATGGACCATTTTTATGATACTCCTGGTGCCTTTGCATCCTTTTGAAGCTTGAAAACGTCAGTCACCATTCATTTTGTAGCTCAAGTCAAGTCAGTCACATGAGTTTAGAACGACATCATGCAAGACATTTCATATTTGACTGAACTACGTCTTTATTTTCTTTTCTGAAAATTAAATACACAGGGTTAGCACCTTTAAGTAAATATTTATCTGTAAAATTATAATGATGAGTGTGCTTAATAACATTATTTGCATATGTTTTACAGAGCTCCATGTATTCACTGGCACTGAAGTGTCTTATCAGCCTTTCCACCGTCATTCTTCTTGGACTAATCATCGCTTACCATGCTCGAGAGGTGCAGGTAAACGCAAATAATCATCTCACATTAGTGTCTATTGTTAAGATGCGAACACATTTATCATTGTTCTGCAAATTCGCAAATTTCGCAGACGAAATCCAATTATGGTGGTGGTTGAGGAGATTCCCCCGCTTTCATGTAAAGCGCTTTGAGTACCCAGAAAAGCGCTATATAAATGTAACTAATTATTATTATTATTATTATTATTATTATAGTAATCCATGTGAATGGAAATTTTGTGTAAGGGTGCAAAATTTGACCATGCAGATTTCACAACGGGTTCAAGTTGGTCACACAAATTCGCTGTGTTGACCAGTAGATATATGCTTGGTTTGAAAATGACTTATGTGTGAGCTGTGCTTCATGTGCTTCTATGTAACTACACTATTGACCTTTTTAGCCACAACATTTTGCTGAAATTTAGCTAATGTGACCATAACTTTAGACTGAACAAAAAGTACCAAAAACTAGGTATTACCACGCTTTTTGGAAACATACAGTACTACAGTAGTACTGTGGTATTCAACAAAATACAAAATACGATAATCATTCAGTACAGTGGTAAATAAAAATGATATTATCATCTGATACATCACTATACCATAGTAACTCCACAGTGCTTTTTTGTAAGTGAGCAATAATTTAATTGAAATAACCAGTTCAGTACTGTTGTAAATAGTTACTTACACATCATCACATGTGTAAAACAAACAAAACATGCTTTTTTTTGTTTATAGTCAGTATCTCTCGACTCTGTCTATCACATCAGTCTGCTTATGTTACACTGTGATGGTGTCAACAAAAAAGTGCAAAAAAAACAGTAAGAAGAATCACACCTGCCACTAGTGTGGCATTAAGAACAGATGAGTAATGTTGTTTTAGGCTGTTGCCCTCAGCAAGGGGAGCTGAACTCAACCGTTCATTAGCATTATGCTAATAGGAAGGTTAGCAGAGGAAAGTCGCTCACAGGAGCATCAGTAACACAGACACATACACAACAACAACACTTTCAGCTCATTTTAAGCTCTCTCTTTCCCTCACACACACACAAACTTCTTTGAAACATTTAGTAGTTATTTTTGGGTCTGTTTGTTCCTGAGAGTGAGTCATTTTGTGACTGTTTGACAGTATTTTGAGAAAGGAGCTTGTCTGCCCTTTTATCAATGAATACATGAATAATCCAACGGATTTCCAATGCTAGCATAAACACACATGCACACATTTGTACTGTATATCTATCATGGTAAGGACTTTCCATTGACTTGTGTTTTTCAACTCATGATATTTATAATTTACACATAAACCATTTTTAATTGTTTTATATACTGTTCCATTAAAAGATTTTGGGTCAGTAATATTTTTTTTTCTGGAGGAAATGTTTGCTTTTATTCAACAAGGACACATTAATTTGATCAAAAGTGACAGTAAAGATATTATATTAAACTGTTTTCAACATTGATAATAATAATAAGTGTTTCTTGAGCAGCAAATCAGCATATTAGAATGATTTCTGAAGGATCATGTGACACCGAAGAGTGGAGTAATAACTGCTGAAAATTCAGCTTTTCCATCTCAGGAATAAATTACATTTTAAGATTTATACTTAAACAGAAAACAGTTATTTTAAAATGTAACAATAATTCATAAAAGTTCTGTTTTTAATGTATTTTCTTAATAATTAAATATAGCCTTGGTGAGCATAAAACAAAAACAAGTAAAAAAATCTTATTGACACCAAACTTTTGAACGGTAGTGTTTGACTTGTATGTTATGTGCGCTATATTTGTTATATGTTGTAAAATTAATTGATGTAATATAGAGTTAAACTGATTGTATTTTTGTATTTAAAAAAATTCGCTATTTGCTTTTATAATCCTGGGGTCAGCTGTACAGGGAGGCCTTTGCAGACCACTGTGCCCTCCCAGCCAAAATGTGATATTTAACCAACCAAATCAGCATATTAGAATGATTTCTGAAGGATCATGTGACACCGAAGAGTGGAGTAATAACTGCTGAAAATTCAGCTTTTCCATCTCAGGAATAAATTACATTTTAAGATTTATACTTAAACAGAAAACAGTTATTTTAAAATGTAACAATAATTCATAAAAGTTCTGTTTTTAATGTATTTTCTTAATAATTAAATATAGCCTTGGTGAGCATAAAACAAAAACAAGTAAAAAAATCTTATTGACACCAAACTTTTGAACGGTAGTGTTTGACTTGTATGTTATGTGCGCTATATTTGTTATATGTTGTAAAATTAATTGATGTAATATAGAGTTAAACTGATTGTATTTTTGTATTTAAAAAAATTCGCTATTTGCTTTTATAATCCTGGGGTCAGCTGTACAGGGAGGCCTTTGCAGACCACTGTGCCCTCCCAGCCAAAATGTGATATTTAACCAACTATTATATCTTTCCAGTGTGTTTCACTCTCTTTAACAGCCACAAAATGCAACTCCATTATAAAATGAGTAGTTAATTAATAATGAAAATATTTGCGTTGAGCAGTGTTGAATCATGGCATGTTGGCATTGGACGGCAGCAGTGTGGCACGGGGACACTGTGTGCAGAAACAGCTCTCAGTCTCATGTTAGGGGCAGTTTTATGGGATTGTGCCCACTACCTGTTCTGCTTGCTTCCAAACATTTTCAGAATGGTATCCTGTGCTTTAACTTTGCCTCGTCTCACTTCGGCTGCTATCTGTCTGTACTATAGGAATAAGATAAGCGTCTGCCCATGAAAAAAGTCTCCTTATCTGCTAGAGGCAGAAAATGAGGGATTGATGATAATGGGTGTGCAGCTATTGGTCAAGTCAATCAAATCACAAAATGTACACTATACTGTTAAAAGGTTTGGGTTCAGAAAGATTTTATTTTATTTTTTAAAGAAGTTAATCAGCAAGGGTGCACCAATGCATTGATCTTAAGTGACGGTTAAGTCGTTTACATTTTCAAAAATATTTTTCAAATAAATGCAATGTATCATGGTTTTAACAAAATATTAAGCAGCACAGCTATTTTCAACATTTTCAATAATAATAATAAAAAAATTCTTAAGCAGCAAATCAACATATTAGAATGAATTCTGAAGAATCGTGTAATAATAATGACTGGAGTAATGACTGCTGAAAATGCAGCTTTGCCATCACAGGAAGAAATTGCATTTTACAATATATTAAAATAGAATACAGTTATTTTTAATTGTAATAATATTTCACAATATTACTGTTTTTATTGTGTTTTTAATCAAATAAATGCAGCCTTGGTGAACATTCTTTTAAAAAACAAATCTTTCTATTTCAGATAAATGCTGTTCTTTTGAGTTTTCTATTCATCAAAGAATCCTGAAAAAAAATTGTACATAACTGTTTTCAACAGTAACAACATCAACAATAATAATAATAAATGTTTCATGAGAAGCAAATTAGCATATTATTGATATCTGAAGGATCATGTGACTAGTGTTCCTTACATTATGGGGACCAAATGTCCCCACAAGTAAAGTATTACCAGTAAATTTTAACTTTGTGGGGACATTTTTAAATCATACAGAATTAAGTTTTTTTTAAATCTAAAAATGCAGAAAGGTTTTTGTGAGGGTTAGGGGATAGAAAATTCTGTTTGAACAGTATAAAAACCATTAGGCCTATAGAATGTCCCCATAAAACATGGAAACCCAACTGTGTGTGTGTGTGTGTGTGTGTGTGTGTGTTTCTTTACAGGGTGAAATCAGTTCACACATTTATCAAACATAATATTATTATAAGCTCACACATGCAAACAGCATGTCCCCCTTGTTTTCACTTTATCTCTGTGTATGTCTCCACTTTGCAATTTGCCCCATCACTCTTTCAATGTCCAACACTCCCTCCTATATCAAATTATGCCCCTTCCTCTCTCTCTCTGCTCAAATCAATTCATTGTGTGCTTTCTCTCACGTTGTTTTTTTTTTCTCTCCAAAGGTTTTCCTCTCTCTTCCCCCTTTTAGATGCGTGTTGAGTCGCTTGTTCTCTCTCTCTCTGGTTGTATTTTTACCTTCATTCAACCTTCCCTTGCCCCCTCTGTCTGTGAATTATTTGTCTGCTTCAGGCTCTTTTAAGCTGCTGCTGTCAAACACACACGCAGATATACACGCAGTTTTGCTCTCTGTTTCAGACCAATATGTGTGTGGTTGTGTAAAGGTGCAGACGGCGTTTCATTCATTTCGCTGGATTGAGAAGTTTCTCATGTACGCTCTGCGTTATGCAAGTGTTTCCGTGGTGATGAGACTCTCTTCCTGTGTGTGAGTCAGACTTCGGCAGCTCTTTCCTGGACAGAGATTGTCTGTGTGTGTATGTATGTGTGTGTTTTTGTGTATCGACATGGTTTGAAGGAGATAAAAACATGATGAGAGTAGGTGTTGATCAGGGATGTTTCTGAGGAGAGAGACAGAGAGGAATGAGACTGGAATGACTGTTCCTTCTTCATTCCTAGATGCCCAAATTGACAAAGGTAGCAATTTAAGACTGTATATCGATTAATTATCTTACACCTTAAAGGAATAGTTAATCTATAAATAAAAATTATTTCATGTTGTTCCAAACCTGTATGACTTAATTTCTTGTGTGGAACACAAAGATGTTTTAAAGATTGTTTCAACTGTTTTTGCCCAGACAATGAAAGTCAGTGTGGGGTCCAAAACAAACAACATTGACTTTCATTAAAAACCCACTGAGATATTTTTCTAAATATCTTATTTTTCTTCTACAGAAGAAAGTAAGTCATACAGATTTTGAAATGAAGGCGAGTAAATGACAGTTTCTTTTTATTTTTGGTGAACTATCCTTTTAAGTCCTGTGAATTTTTCATTGGATACAATTTTTATTTTCAGTTTAGTCAAAATCCATTTTTGCCCATATGGTTGAAAGTGCCTCTAAGGTAGTGTTTGAACTCAAGTGTACATGTTAATGTGAGTGCATCTCTTCCTGAGAGCCAACAAGCTTCATCCTTGGCTAAAGT